TGTTACTTTCACAATCATTTACATCAGAGTATTCCTTGTTAATATAGAGGAGGTCTAGTGACACGCACTGTATGGTCGTCCTTGACGAATCTGGTACCAACTAAATGACCCCACGGGATAGGGGCTGGTTGGTCTGGGTAGGATAGTCTTTCAGATCGATCAAGACAACATGACATCTCATCCCTTTGCGGTCGACTGATTGGTGCCTGATCCATCTATTAAAACAAAACGTAGCAACGGCTTATACATAGGCATACATCTGCTGGGCACCACAATGCTGGGCGCATCTTCCAGATGAAATTGATTGAAGCTGAAAAACTTTAACTACTACCCTTAGTAGCCTTTTTTTGAACTTCCAAAAATGTTTTTTTCCAGGATTATATATCTAAGGCCGGTAGAACGGAAAAAAGACTTCTTCGACGATTCCTAAAATTAGGTAGCTCACGACTCTCCATTTTTGGCATTTTTCCCTATTTCCTTTTCAGCCTAAGCATTGTATCAGGACCAATAGCAAGTAAAAGACTCGTACTCATATTCTTTCAAACGGGAACCTCTTGGTCCCTTCTTGTTCGCACAGCTCCATAAACTGTGGTATGGGCCGTACATGAGCATAACGGCAGACTTTGCAGCAGATGGAGACAAAGTCCTATCCCAGTGAAGTTTATGTGAGGAGCACTTAATTCCATATTGGACGAAATCTCGTTCGTACCTCATGTCATGCAATTAGACCTGTTCAATCTGGTGTAGGAGAAATTCGTGTCTGCACATTGGAAGCCCTCTTCCGCTCACTCGGTGAGTGGAATGAAGGGGTGCGGGCATAGACTTCCTCTCACGTTTCGTCATGAGACTGAGATCACAACGGCGCCACNTGTTCGCACAGCTCCATAAACTGTGGTATGGGCCGTACATGAGCATAACGGCAGACTTTGCAGCAGATGGAGACAAAGTCCTATCCCAGTGAAGTTTATGTGAGGAGCACTTAATTCCATATTGGACGAAATCTCGTTCGTACCTCATGTCATGCAATTAGACCTGTTCAATCTGGTGTAGGAGTATGATGCACATTGGAAGCCCTCTTCCGCTCACTCGGTGAGTGGAATGAAGGGGTGCGGGCATAGACTTCCTCTCACGTTTCGTCATGAGACTGAGATCACAACGGCGCCACTTGGCCCCTGACGGGAAATGTGCACGGAAAATTTATGATGTTCGTACAAAAAATTAGGTTATATCGCCCAGGAATTCCCATTTCCTGGCAAAAACATTACGAGATCCAGCAATTGCCATCGCTCGATAGGGGTGCGCTTTGAGGAAGAGTGTTGCTGCTTTTGCTATAATCATTTCCTTGGCTGTAGCGGACGACGTGAAAAGCACCTCCCTGAGAGATACCAAATAAAGATCCCTTCAAAAAATCACTACATCATTTTCTGTTAAAATGATAAATATGGTAATGGTTCATGTCAGGACCTCCCGGAACACGGCGCACGTGGCCTGATTCCTGTAAGAGAGACCTGACCCTCCCCTGAATTTTCCGTTAGTTGTATCACCCACCGAATCTGGGAATGCAGGGATTAAAATTCATTATCATTGAGCTCAGAAGTTTCCTCGGCCTTATTTGCTTCACATCTACTTCACAATGCTGATCCTGGCAAATACGCCTTTTGGAGGTTTGGTATTTTCCAAAATAATCCAATAGATGACGTTGCTCAGAAGGGAATCCATGTAGTCGTATGTAGAGGGGCTCGCGTGTGAAAGACAAGTATAGCCCAAGAACAGCAAAATTAAGCGCGAGAATGGTAGGAAATTGTTCCGAAGCGTTCCTTGAGCGCCAAGATAAGGGTGAAACTGATTCCCAGAATAGTATCTCCTATCGAAATATTCACCTTAGTTCAGGAATTTTTCAGATGTTCCTGAAGCGGTAGATGAGTTGCATAAATTCATGGCTACTAGGTAAACTCATCATTGATTTCTAGTTTCAGCTTAACACCCTGCTACAAGAAAGTTCATGTCACGTCGTTTTCAGTAAAACGGAAACCACGACCGAACCAACTACGTCCACTGGAGGAGAAGAAGGCGATGAGAGTGCAAANGATGAGAGTGCAAATCCAGAAGGTTCAAATCAAGAAGGACAGCACTCAGATGAGAAGGCGGTACGTGTTGGAATTACCGTAACTTGAAAATCAAGACGGGAACAGAACTCTGCAAGCTAGGGTAGAGATGACAGCAGCAAAACCTATGATAGCTTTCCATGCGTTTCCATAGCGTCATTGATGAGTCTTTCGTCAATATTACATGAGTGGTACCGGAAAGGTAATCGGATTTTTCTATCAGCAAGCTCCGATCCAGCATGGCTGAACATGCTGAGTTCTGAACGTCGGCTTGTCTTTTTTGTAGCTTGGGAGCCAGTCTCCTCGCTGGGTCAAGTGTACATACGGTGCGGAGCAAAAGCTGTCAGCAAAGGCCTCGGCATTAGTTTGGGCAAATTATTAGTTCGAAATGAACACAGCCTCCATCAGAGGAGATTAGTGTGAGCAGCTCAAACGCTACTCAAGGGAAACAGCGTACAGTTCGCATCACCGCAAGGGAAACAGCGTACAGTTCGCATCACCGCTCCTGCAGCTTTGTTTTTGATTAATCCCTGTAATGTTCACAGTATGCGCTTCCTCTCAAGCATGCCTTTTCAGTCGGCCTTTGATCAGTTCCCATTGTGGCTTCAGAAGGCTGGGGAATATGTTCAAACATTCGCCCCTGAGAATCCTGACGGAAATAGAGCTCCATTCGTCCCAAAGTAGAATGACACTTAAAGGTCTCAGCAGCTTCGACAAAAAGACCGATGACTGCTCATAACACCAGTTTAATTTATTGCACTCTGAAGGTTGACATAAGGGTTTTTCGAACCTTCCCTCAGTGTTGCCTCCATCTGAAAAACCAATCACCTTGGAACATTAACGTTTCGTTCCCCCAGAAAATACAGTGTAAATTAAAAGCGACTAAACATCCCAAACCATGAGACATTTGATTAACTTCACCAAAGGGACCACCATATAAATCCTCTTTTCTTCCATTCGCGAGTAGCGCACCCCTTTCGCAGTCCGTCAGCAACCTTACTACACATTCGTTCATTCCCATTTTGGGTTTGGAAGGTTTCTTACGACGAATATCTTCTGAGTGAGACAAATGTGGTATAGTGGCAAGTGTCGCATTATCAGAGACGTTTACTCCGGTGATGGGATACCGGATTCATACTCGCCACGAATACCTCCTGGGTTGGTTAAATAGTACCATACTCGCTCGGACCTATAAAAGTATCGGGTGTATAGGCCCCAATGAATTTTGAATAGAAATCAGATGCGGGTAGTATCCTTGACGCCAAAAACTTCAACCTCGTTTTTTGTGTTCTGGATGTAAAATCATAAAAGGCGTCCCAAACGCTTCAGTAACTGTGAGTCGTTGAAAATATCAGTCACTTTTCCAAAATTCAGGCCATCCGGAGCTCTTGCTTGGTTCCCTGTCATTCACGAAGTAATTTTCTTACTATTCATTAACACAAGCTTGATATTTCCATTTATTACAGGGGTCAGACGAGTTCTACGACGACTCGATAAGCTCACCACCGAGGTGAGTTTTTTTTTTCATAGGGCCTTATAACACACTGTGTTGACTTCATGCGTTGATAAAATAGTCAGAGCTCGTTGGCTACTCTGCTTCACAACTTTAGAGCATTTGAAAGCTTCCGAGGCGAGGAATAGTCAATTGCACTAAATTATCGCATACGTATTGTCTTCCCAAATCCCACCATTACACACTGTAGAGCTCCTTTTGTGAAGAAGGATGCAGCGAAAGTTTGGAGTGGGAGGCTCTCCAAACTGAATTCTATTGAACAGAATGGCGGATGACCCTTGTCCGAAGGATTTATCGCCTCATTTCTCGTCTACAGAAGATTGATTTTTACTTAAACGCAACAAAACAACAAGTACGGTCAAGGTTAAATAGACAAATTTGATAAGAAATGCGGAAAACAATGCTGTGAGAGTGACATTTCTTTAAGCAGCGCTGGACATGATCATGACAACAGATTGATCACGCGTATTGCATTAACCCATTGGCGACCGCGCCTTTTATACTGTCCTTACTTAACTTTCAATTTCTCTTATAACTGTAGTTGGGAATGAATGATTCCTGGTTCACAATGCCTCAAGATTCGTTAGAAGGCTGTGAGCTCAGCTGATACTTGCAAACATGAAAAAAATTATTGGAACACTTGATAAATAATATAAATACTACAGGGGCATGAAATGGTGTAGCCCGACGGCGTGCCACCCACTTGTCAGTGGGTTAAATATGAATACAACTCAGCAATATCGAACCTCCCCCCCATATCCAAACTTGTTTGCAAATCCTTAACTGGAAAAATCTCAGCAGGTTTTTCGTGAAACATCGGGAATAGGGCTGTCAAATAGTCTGAGAGTTTTGATGTTTTGTTATTTGCTGTTATATTTCCGCAGTACGCGTTCCGAAAGCCTCACAAGGTTGGCGATTTATGAACAAAACTTCAGTCGCGGATGGAACTCGAACCCGTACTTGTCCTTTCAGGGGACCGTGCTCTTATTCCTAACACTACCGATACCACGCTCGCCCTCGCCTTGTTGATGGCTTATATGCCATCAGTTGGGCTACGCACGCTAATGCTTGCACCACATGCCCATTACCGCTTGCCTACGACTTGTTAGAGGACCAATGTGAACAGCATCGGTTACTTCCATTTCATAACCGTTTCCTCACTGCGCACACGTGACATTCACACTCTTCGTCGTGCCTACGTGACTTTCTGAAGGACGCACAGACGGGCATACAAACAGACATGCAAAATGGCCGCTTCATATAAGAGGCAGTCGAGCCCGGACGGACAGACAGAACAGACGTCGGCTAACGCCGGACTTTCCTCCTTCTTTAAGTTCTAGTAATCGGCAACCCCCCCCCCCCCCTCCCTCCTCCCCTCCCTCCCAATTTTTTTAACGAATGAGCTTTTCTGAACACGAAATCCGACATACTCTTCAAAACTTTGACATAGGACACAAAAAGAGGGGAGCTGGGCAGCACCGGTGGTATTTAGGGTGTGCCGATGCCTACGCCTACGATTAAAAGTGTCAATTGGTTGCTTTTCATCTTGAAAATTATGAAACATTGAAGGTTTAACTGATAGGCAACCCAAGAATTGAGTGGTACTCGCAAACGTTCTCAAGTTGTAATAACACCACTATCAGATGTCGTTATCACTGAGCCTTCTTTCCTCCACGGGTACATCATTAGTTGAGAATCCCAAATTGTTGGCGGTTGGATGAGCTTTGTCGCGAATGATAACAAAACATAAAGTAACCTTGATCTTCCACCGAGCTACAAACCTTGCTGGGTAGCGGTCGTAATCTATATAATAGACGTAATCATAAATACCACCGGAGTCAAATTAGTTGGTCAGTGCTCTTATCAAAGCTATCAGCTGTTATCAGTTCCTATCACGGTCGTCTACGATCCCGCCATGCTCCACAACACTTGCCAAACGTCAAGGCTCCACTATTAATGCCATTATTATAGATGGTCTAGGCTCTCAAGGATTTTCTCCAGCCCTTATCGGTTCCATCAGCTCCTGGCCCGGCACCAATCGTTCTCGATCCCGTCACCGAGTATCTACGATCCTGTCACATCTTACATGACCTATGAGAATTCCAAGAATCCATTGTTAACAGAAACTGCGTTACAGATCTAGTGGCTCTCTCCTTGCATGGTTTCTTATCAGTCCCTATCACTTGCTATCATTCCATGTCACTAATCATTGACGGGTCCATCACATACTACACACCTCGCGAAGTGTCATAGCTTCATCGTTAATATAAAGGGAGTTGTTGGTTCTATGACTTACTTATTAGTTTTTGTTGATTGTTTTCACTTCCTATTACATACCATCAGTGTTTCCATCCTGTCGCCATTTTTATTTCAAATTTGAATGCTTTAGCTACAGCGGACAGGAGTTATAAATTTACGGCCGAACAAACACAACATACACACACAAACACACCAACAGACACACTTAGCCTATTATATAAGTAGGATAGCTTATCAGCACTCACGCGTACAACGAGTTGGGCCGGTCGGCCAATATGAGCGCTGAACCGCTAAGCTGAATGTTCTACAAGACATAACTTATTTTTAAACATAACCAAAACAAAGTTCGAATCAAAACACGTTCATCATGTAATGCTTACAGCTTAAAGGTTCAGCGCTGATATTGGCCGACCGGTTCAACACGTTGCAAAAGACAAATACGAGTTCGACTCCCGCCCGAGACTGAAGCTTTGTCCACAAATCGCCAACCTTGTGAGTCAGACAATTGGCTGCCAAGGCTAGAAGCGGTTAAGCTAACTCGTCCTCTCAGCTTTATTTCTACCGCCTCCCGCCACCCCGAGACCCTGAACCGCTACCAGAAATGATGTTTAACTGCGCGGTGCACTAGCAGTACAGCCGTTTTCAGCCTGCTACTGATTTTGGGACTGGGCGCTTTGGTCGTGCTAATTATCATCGTCATCATTGCTCTTGTTCCAATCATGATTAAATATCGCCAGAAGCGACGTAAGGTAATGACTATTGTTCATTATTTACTATTTATTTGTTCAGTTTATCTATTCTTTACTCTTTATTTTCATTGAGTTAAGAGGAAGGTTTCTAGAGATGGCTCGAAAAAACGTGGGATCAACGCGTAAAGAAGGCAGGAGAGGAACTGGAAAGAGAAAAGAAAGAAAAAGAAGAGAAGGAAAGAAAAAGTAAAGGGGAAGGTTCACATGATTCGTCTACTCCGAATCCTTCTGATGGTGGAAGAGATCCATTTGAAGCATTTGTATCCAAAATGGGACATCTGGATGAGAAAGGTGCAGGGCTTTAGAGCGGCAGGGGTCATACTCAATCTTCACGTGAAGAAACAAGCAACCAAACAAAAAAGCACTCGACAAAAACGTTACACTTTAGACTAGATGCTGATCTTCACGTTTATTCAATAATAAAACTGACTCCTAGCTTGTTGTGTACTTTGTTTACTTGAGAGATTCAAAAAGCTTTCGATGTTGTTGTGGCTGTAGAGAGCAATTCGGATTTTTGATCTTGATTCCAATCACCCTTCTTTTCCCTGTTCTCTTCAGCCTCCTCCGCAGTAACAGGATTCCCCGTTCCATTTAGTCGCTAACGCATCATTCGTTCTACGGTATCTTCTCCATCAGATTAACTTCGGGGGGGGGGGGGGGGTCCTTTTTGATCACGTCCATCCACCTTTTTCTCAGGCTTTCCGTGGATGTTCCCCACAATTTCAAGTTCGTTCTTCTCCTAATTCTCTAATGATAACATCTCTTTCTCTTCGCAGGGTTGCCTATATCATCACGCTGCTCTACCATCTTCATCTCAACAGGAACTGTCTGAATGGCCATCCGGACGTTTTCGTTACTAACCGATCTAACGTTTCCTTTCCTGGTCATCTTTCGACTACTTTTTAACTTTTTGTTCGGAGTTACACCTGCTCCAATGGCAGCATGTTGGGTTCATGGATGTAAATGAAAGATTGATGGAGAGCAGAAAAGATGTGCCGAAGGGTAGATTGAATGACCTGTTGAGGTAGATAGAAAAACATGGATGAATCCTCATAACAGCCTTTACTTGTCTAATGAGAGCATACTGGTCACCACACTCCATGCAAGTTCGATTTGTCTCTATTTAATCTCTCTTATTTATGAAGCAGTAACTTGGTGTATCGGTTTGTCGGTTTGGGTGTTTGTCGAGATATCTGTATGTCGGTTTGTTTTATATACAAGGCAGTAACTTGGTAGATAGGTTGATGGAGTAGACTGGGGACTGCGAAGTGAAGTGAGTGATGTGAAGGGATTACTTCAGAACTGTGATTTCAAACTGTAACGGCATCGTGCTGTGTATGTCTTTACGAAATCCGGAAGCGACAATACAGCGCGTTTCATAATTATAAGGTCACCCTCGATTTTTGCGATTCTGGAGAAACCAGCCGGAATGGAATTTTTTGGCAAACACAGGAAGATTCCTCATCACAATGTACCTGCGTATTCAAATTTTGGTCGCAATATCCTTTACCTCATATTTTTTATGAATTTTTTGAAGATAGTGTCGGCTTTTGCACCGTTTCATAATTATAAGGTCACCCTGAGAAAG